TTTTCCTTCCTCGTGATGCCATCTATTTTGTGAAGTGCACCAGACCCTCCTGCAGCAAAGCACCCCCACAGCATGATGCTGCCACCCCCATGCTTCACGGTTGGGATGGTGTTTTTCGGCTTGCAAGCATCCCCCTTTTTCCTCCAAACATAACGATGGTCATTATAGCCAAACAGTTATATTTTTGTTTCATCAGATCAGATGACATTTCTCCAAAAAGTACGATCTTTGTCCCCATGTGCAGTTGCGAACCGTAGTCTGGCTTTTTTATTGTGGTTTTGAGCAGTGGCTTCTTCCTTGCTGACCGGCCTTTCAGGTTATGTCGATATAGGACTTGTTTTACTGTGGATATAGATACTTCTGTATCTGTTTCCTCCAGCATCCTCACAAGGTCCTTTGCTGTTGTTCTGGGATTGATTTGAACTTTTCACACCAATGTACATTCATCTCTAGGAGACAGAACGCGTCTACTTCCTGAGCGGTATGATGGCTGCGTGGTCCCATGGTGTTTATACTTGCGTACTATTGTTTGTACAGATGAACGTGGTACCTTCAGGCGTTTGAATATTGCTCCCAAGGATGAACCAGACTTTTGGAGGTCTACAAGTTTTTTTCTGTGGTCTTGGCTGATTTCTTTTGATTTTCCCATGATGTCAAGCAAAGAGGCACTGAGTTTGAAGGTAGGCCTTGAAATACATCCACAGGTACTCCAATTGACTCAAATTATGTCAATTAGCCTATCGGAAGCTTCTAAAGCCATGACATCATTTTCTCTAATTTTCCAAGCTGTTTAAAGGCACCGTCAACTTAGTGTATGTAAACTTCTGACCCACTGGAATTGTGATACAGTGAATTATAAGTGAAATAATTTGTCTGTAAGCAATTGTTGGAAAAATTACTTGTGTCATGCACAAAGTAGATGTCCTAACTGACTTGCCAAAACTATAGTCTGTTAACAAGAAATGTATGGAGTGGTTGAAAAACGAGTTTTAATGACTCCAACCTAAGTGTATGTAAGCTTCCGACTTCAACTGTACATCTCTTCACTCCTTAGCCAACTGTCTGTATCATTGTGGAAAGGGAAGGTTAAAGGCCCAGTGTAGTCAAAAATGAGATTTTCCTGTTTTTACTATATATTTACACAATGTGAGGTTGGAATGATACTGTGAAATTGTGAAAATAATGATAATGCCCTTTTAGTGTAAGAGCTGTTGGAAAAGACCGCCTGAAATGTCAGCCTGTTTTGGTGGGACGGAGTTTTGGCCTGCGGTAAATTAGTTAATAAGAAAGAGAGTTCCAAACCTCTTTGCCAATAGCATCCATTGTTTTTTGTTTTGTTTTTTTTTGTGTGTTTTTTTTACCATCTTAATTTAAAACAATCACAGTAAGGTACTTAATTGTTACCCAGAAACAGTGGTGGAAAAAGTACCCAATTGTGATACTTGAGTAAAAGTATAGATACCTTAATAGAAAGTTACTCAAGTAAAAGTTAAAGTCACCCAGTAAAATACTACTTGAGTAAAAGTCTAAAAGTATTTGGTTCTAAATGTACTTAAGTATCGAAAAGAACATGTCATTGCTCAAATATACTTAAGTATCAAAGTAAAAGTAAAAGTATAAATAATTTCAAAATTCTTATATTAAGCAAAGCAGACGGCACCATTTTCTTGTTTTAAAAATGTACAGATATCCAGGGGCACACTTCAAATTATGCATTTGTGTTTAGTGAGTCTGCCAGATCAGAGGCAGTAGGGATGACCACGTGTTCTCTTGATAAGTGCGTGAATTGGACAATTTTCCTGTCCTGCTAAGCATTCAAAATGTAACGAGTACTTTTGGGTGTCAGGGAAAATATATGGAGTAAAAAGTACATTATTTTCTTTAGGAATGTAGTGAAGTAAAAGTAAAAAAAAAAAATAGTCAAGTAAAGTATAGATACCCCCAAAAACTACTTAAGTAGTACTTTTAAGTATTTTTTACTTAAGTACTTTACACCACTGCCCAGAAATAATTTGATATTGAGATAAAAATGGATACATTGGACCTTTAAAATCTCTCTCTTTGTCCCCAACTTTCTCTCCCTCTCTCTCTCTCTCTCTCTCTCTCTCTCTCTCTCTCTCTCTCTCTCTCTCTCTCTCTCTCTCTCTCTCTCTCACTCTCTCAATACAATTTCAATTTAAGGGCTTTATTGGCATGGGAAACGTATGTTAACATTGCCAAAGCAAGTGAAGTAGATAGTAAACAAAAGTGAAATAAACAATAAATATTAACAGTAAACATTACACCCAGAAGTTCCAAAAGAATAAAGACATTTCAAATGTCATATTATGTATATATACAGTGTTGTAACAATGTGCAAATAGTTAAAGTACAAATGGGAAAATGAATAAAAATAAATATGGGTTGTATTTACAATGGTGTTTCTCTCTCTCTTCCTCACAGCATGAATATTGACTGCAGATATGCAGATTTTAAAGACAGGCAGCTAGCAACATATGCATAAAAAATATTGTAAAAGGTTGTTAACTTCCTGAAGGAAAACTGCCACAGAGGATATTTAGTTTTATCAGTTCCGAAGTTTTGGAAAAGTGCCCTTCATAATCAACCGTCTTCGATTAAGTCTCTGCAGTGTTTGGCTATAAACTAACCTGTCAAACATGGAGACAATGTTCAAGGTGTTTATACTGTTTGGGGGATACTATAGGCAGTGTATGTCATATCATGACAACAAAAAAACGGAATGTTTTTGCTCATTTTTGTTTAATTTGTAGTTGTGGTGAAAATGTCCCTGTCTATTAATTTTCCTGCCCATTAGATTTTCCTGCCCATTTTTCAGTTCAGTAAGGAATCTGGAACTAGCTGCAACAGAGGATAATGGACTGTGTTTTACTGCTGATGCTGCTCCCTAGTGATGCTGAATAATCAGGGAAAGAGGTGATTTACAAATTTGACTGTACAGGTTTGAACAACAAGCATGAAGATCATTTATATTAGGCACAAACATTTATGTTTGGTCAGAATGTGAGCCTATTTCATTATTCAATTATTCAACGCATCAGCAGCTTATTAGTCCAGAAGTTGGATCGCAGACATCCATGGACCAATCACAAAAGGGTGTTCCTGATTTTTTCCCCGACACGCCCTTGCATCGCGTCGGAGGAAATTACACATTATAGTCACACAACTTCTTGAGTTTTTGGTAGTAATGAGAAACCGACGTTCGGCACCAAATCCTGCAGAAAAACGGTTCATTACTCGAAGCTTTTAACACAATGCACATTAGTGACATCTGTTGGTCAGGCATAAACATTAGCATGTTTGATGCTTATATTTACGTTTTTTCCCCTTCATCCATCAAAACTTAGTGGTGCAATGGATAGGTGTGAATTTTAACAAACTAAAGTTAGTTCGAATGTGAGGTTCCCATGACACATCCTGCATACCCTTTTGCCTCCAGGTTCACCATTTTTTAAACTGGGCATCTGTGGTATTATTTAGGATGCTGAAGACAAAAGATGATCATAGGGCATAGGCTATACTAAATAAAACTAATTATTTGAACAACAATGTGCAGAACTGCAGATAGTGTGGTTTCTCAGAAAATAAATTTCGAACATAGTCAGTACTCGATCCTGTGCCTATGGTATCTGATTATTTCCTAATTCAACCGTTCAGGTATTATGAAAAGTACATTTGTCAATAAGGTAACGAGTAGAGGTCAGAATTTGAAAGCAACTTCGCATCGAAGAAACAACCAGTGTAGTAATACTGATGATTTGTCCGCACCGATGGTTTATTTACATGGCAGATTCGAATAATTAACGTGGCAGGTTAAGATAATTAACGTGGCAAGTTAGTGAATTAACGTGGCATGATAGGAGAACTAACGCAGCAGGTTAGGTGAATTAATGTAGCAGGTTAGGAGAATGAGGCTAAGGTTAGGAAAATGATTAGGGATATGTTTAGCTACAACGCTACAGTTGTCAACAACTGTTGTCCCTGAAGCGACCACTAGATAGAGCTGTAGGCCTACTCCATTTAGCCACAATGGTAGAAACGTATACAAACTCATCTGCGGTGACAAATCATCAATATAACACAGGTCATCTTTATTGCAGTCGCGCTGCACAGCTCAGAATATTGCTGTATCATATGGATATCATATGGATGTGGTTCCTGAGAACACTTAGGGCACGTTCCTCTGCCCAGGCGTTGCTGACACATGCCAGATCTTACAATGCCTGGATAGGTATTTTACCTATCACCTAACCACATCATATGTTATAGCCATCTGGTGCCCGACAGCACACTCGATAATGTGGCAGCAACCGTTGGTTGATGCATGCAATGTTTGAGCAGGGGAACGCGACCTTAGCCAACCTGGAACATCACAGATAATGGTCGCTTTCCCCTGCTCAGAAGTTGCATGCATCCATTCAATGGTTGCGTACCATGTCATCAACTGTGAAATCGACTGACAGATTGCTATAATATATGATGTATTAGCTGATATGTAAAATACCTATCCAGGCGTTTTAAGTTCTGGTATGCATCAGCAACGTCTGGGCAGAGGAACGCGCCCAACATGCGTGCCAAATAAAGAGCTTGACTAATCAGATGCAAAGCCCAATTAGGGCCTAATCTAGCCCAGGTGTGCAGCCTGGTTGGTTGTTAAAAGCTACCTCAGTTTCATCAGTCATACCATAGCAGAGGCACATTGCCCTCTAACCTACAGGTTCACATAAGTTGTTGGCATGGGAGTTATAATGGCAAACACGCTCTGGGTATTGTTAAAGCAACTAGTTTTGTTTTTACTGGTGGGAAACTTAATTGCTCCTGCTTTTACACTTACTTACAGCACTGGCACATGGCAACAACTTCCAGTGCGAATGCCGCAATTTGGAAATCGTCCGCCCTTTAAACAGCTTCAACTTCACCAACAAACAGCTTCCAGACCAGATCGAGTGGAAACGGTTGCTGTGACGTGCCATTCAGACTACATGGAGGTAGTCGTGAAAGCTGATCTGTTTAAACTCGGTAGTCTTATTGACGTGGATGACCTGCGACTTGGAGTTGAACAGTACCAAGACCAAGAGCCGTGTAGGGCTACAGCATCCGCAGCCGGAGATGAGTACAGAATACTTGCAGCGCTATCGGACTGTGGAACCAATCATTTGGTAATTATGGTGAATGTTGTGCTTCAGTAGCTGATGTCATAAAATGACCTCTTTTAAATTCTGCTTTGTGAATCCACAGATGAACAAAGACTCCTTGATCTATACAAACCTCCTCAGATATACGCCCAGAACCACTCCAGATGGGGTTATTCGACTGGATGGTGCTGTAATCCCAATTGAGTGTCACTATAAAAGGTGAGTTTAGGCTATGCTGTTGTATGATCATGACTACTGTGTGGCCCTATTGGTTTGCTTACAGACTCTTTACTTTTTGTTTCAGGAAGTACAGTTTGAACAGTGCCTCTCTCCAGCCGACCTGGATCCCCTTCACCGCCACAGTGTCTGCTGAAGACACCCTGCAGTTCTCCTTAACCCTTATGACAAGTGGGTATATAAATCCTGGGCTGCATTGAGCAGGGCACAACCTTGTTAAAAGGAGACATTGTGCTCTCCCAGAAGTTTGGTTGGTGTGTAAAACCTGTTACTTGAATGTTCAGATATACATTTACTATGTAGCACAAATGACCCTCTGACATGCAAAATACAGAATCTTATCAGACATCCCTTTTTATTGCTGACATTTCTATCTGCAACGTTAAACAGTTATCCTATGGCCCTGTTAACAAACCCCTCCATGTACCTTTTAACCCATTCATAGATGCACCTATTGACTGTAATATATTCTGGTGGGTGTAGTTTTGTTAAGTGCCTTGCTCATTAACATTGCAACGCATCGCTTGCGGTACTGTTTTGGAAACATAAGGAAGGTATCTTTCATATCGGTGAAGTCATTTTCAAAAGTTTAAATGACTATTTTTTTTTTATAGGATTAGGTTTCCCACACTGAAATATTCGTTTAGACAGAGGCGTACCTGTGCTAATTAGCTAGCTGCATCTGAACACCTGTTTACGGAAGGCTGACTCCACAAATGTGTTACTGAAGTACTGTCGGCTGCAACTGTAAAAGTGTGCAGTAAGTGTTTTGCTATGTAATTGTGACATGAGCGTATAGGGCTTTAAGTTTCTAGAACCGTATTACAAATTGATTTGCATTTTTGGCTGCCAGAGCTAATTTGCATCAACAGGACATATAAGGACCTTTGCCTATAAGGAATAATGTTAGGCTCCTTTTGTCAATTATTGGGATAACCTGTCATTACTGCCACTTCCTGTCCAGGTGACTGGCTCTATGAGCGGGGTTCTGCAGTCTACTTCCTGGGTGATCCCATCAACATTGAGGCGTCTGTCAGGGTTGCTCACCATACCAGGCTCAGGGTTTTTGTTAGCAGTTGTGTGGCCACACTGGACCCAGACAAGAACTCTGTCCCCAGATATGTCTTCATTGAGCATGATGGGTAAGCAAGAGGGTAAACTTCCTAGAACTAATATTCTCCGGCTGGCCCATAGAATGATAGTGGCCTCTTTAGCATGGGCAGCGCCATTGAGGGCTTCCACCATGATGCTGCCATTTTAAAGTAGTCAACTGGGTGGGGATGTCTATGGGTTGTAGCGTCAATGGCACTGCCCATGCTGTCAGATGCTATAATGGCACAGATATAGAGTCCTCTCTATGGGCTGTCCCTGTATGATAATATTATCCCCAAATGATGCATGGCGGGTTCTTCATTGGGTACCAAGAAAGATGAACCGAGCCCCAATATGTATTTATATTATCTCCCTTCCAGGTGCTTGGTGGATTCCCAGCTGCCTGGCTCCGACTCTGGCTTCATGCATAGAACCCAGGACAACAAGCTCCAGTTCCACATTGATGCATTTAGGTTCCACCAGGAGGACAGGCCAGAGGTGAGGGCAGTATTAAAAAAAAAAACAAAAAAAAAACACGGATGTTAAGACAATTATGATACTGTAGTTGGTACACGATGTTGCAGTAACAACTTCCAGCCATTATGTAGGCTACTGTGCGTCTGCTTTGTTTTGCTCATTCTGTTGTGTTTCTACAGCTGTACATCACATGCCACCTTATGGCAGTCCCTGTCATGGACCATGCGGAGCCTAGCAACAAGGCATGCTCCTTCATCGATGGCAGGTGTGAGATCTGACTTATTTCCTTAGTTAGTCTTACTGGGCTGTGTGACCTATCCACTGGAATAACCCTAGCGTTTGTTCAAATAGGGTGTTCTTGGTCCATGAGTATCTTCTATACATTTCAGATGGAGGTCTGCCGATAAGAATGATTTGCTATGTGGCCGTTGTCCAAGCCTGAATAGCCAGACGGGGGTTGATCAAGCTCCAGCACGACGTCCCCTCAGTCCAAGACTAGGTGGTAGCCGACCTGAACCTCGTGGCTACCGCAGCAAACCTCCAGCCTCTGGCGACCATTGGCGTGGGATGAGGGCTAAGAAAGGTATGTTTGGTATCTTACTCTTGCCTCTTCTAACACATTGCACAAGATGGTCCAAGGGGAGTGACCTTCTCCTTCAATATGGTTGCAGGAGCTGGGATTTGAGGAAATACTAATTTGAAAGTGTCTTGACTACAAATGTGTTAGTGAGAAGTTGCCCTTGCCTGTGTTTAATGAAAATATGTTGCCCTTTTTAGTATGGGACCAGGATGCTACTTTGGGCCCCATGATGGTCTTCAAAACCAAGCAGAGTGCACCTCTATCTCCACGGACGAGGGAAGGTATCGCTATACATGGCTTCCCCTCCGCAACAGGGGACAGGAGGCCTGTATCACCTGGCAGTCGTTGGAAGAGTGGAATGGACTTCAAGAAGGGTAATTTGACTGTCTGAAATGGCAGTCTTAATCCTTATGTAGTGCATTACTTTTGCCCAGATAGTCTTGAAAATCTGACCCTAAGCAACAGCATTGCCTAGGGTCTGGTTTCAATGACAGACTCTATTGGCAACTTCAAGCAAAAAAAAAACTATCCAGTGGGTCCTTCAAGCAGACTACTCTCTCAACAAATCATGACTCAAACATCACAATTTGAAACCACATTTTGCAGGTAATACCTTTGCAGTTGACTCAAACTAGCCACTCAAAATGCGGTCATTAAACGTAACCTTTGATCTCTTTATCTTGCTAGCTATTTTGTATTTTATTCAAGTGGATAAGGTAGTGACTTAGCTCCTCTCTGCCCAACTGACATTTTTATTACGTGCAGACTTGTTGAGCCAGTACGTTAGAAAAGAGGCAACGGGGATGTCTAGACTATTGCCTAGACCATGAGGCGCTGGTCAAAAGTAGTGCACTCTATAGGGTTCCACTTCAGACACTTGTCTCAATTTCCATATAGGCTAGCAATACTGGCTATATTAATCTGTTACATTTAATTCCAGGACCTTATTTCACCCAATCCCAAAATGTGGGTAGTCCCTTGGGCCCGGGGGTTGGACCCAACAACAGGCACGGTTTCGTTAGCTCTGCAATATATGATGGCTTCATCAGGCAGAAGGAACTAATCACCCAAAGAGGTAATGGCATTCCTTTACTGGTTTACATGTATGATAATTGCATGTAGGCTCTATGCTAAATAGTCTGTTCTCAGAGCTGGAGCCCACCCCAGAGTTGAATTCTACACTTGAGCCCATTGGGGACCTTGGAGAAGAGGTTCCCACAGAGCAGGCTGGTCTGATTAAAGATCTAGGTGACCAGCAGGATGACAAGGATCGCTATAAAATTGGAACTCATTGAAAGGGTGAGTCTAGGCTCATGGTACTGTATTTTGCGTGAAGGAACCTGCACAATGGCAAGCAGGTCGGCATTTATTGGGATGACTCAGTTTTGCAGTGGTCACTAGCTAGCACTGCCACATTCATAATCTGACTTTAAACCTAACCTTAACCACACTCCTAATGCCTAACCTTAAATGATGACCTAAAAGCTAATTTCTGTTCATATTTTTTTTACAATGTACTTAATTTTGACTTTGCAGCTGGCACACCTAGCCGGAATCGCTCAGTTCTGCCTCCAGGACAAGACTCGTCCCAATAAATGTCTACCTGTGCATGGCAATTGCCAGTATCACTTGTGTATATATCAGCTTTTGATGTGGTTTCATAAAGCAGTTATGAAATGTTTGCAGTCTACTAACACTACTCTATAGAATTGTGAGGTTGCTGTGGTGGCCCCACTTGTGCTGCTTGGAGCTAGACTAAACTGACTGAGGGTGGTGCCAGTCCTGGTGTCCCAGCACAAGGTGGATGACCCTACAACCAAGTGACCTCAGCACCACCACATCACTCAACCAGTGGACTACCACCACACTAAGCAGACATGGTCTCATCAGATCTCCAAAGAAAATGAGCCAAAGATTACTGTTAACCTCCTTGAAAAATAAATGTATTTAAAGATACTTTGACTGAGTTTCTGTCTTTACCATTATGCACTACATGCTAGAGTAATCTGAAAAGTTGCTCTAATTGTTTAAGTTAATGCCCACTCAAGTTTTTAGGATCCTGTTCTTTGGGGGGGGGGGTTAATACAGTGCATTCAGACCCCTTGACTTTTTCCACATTTTGTTGTTACAGCCTTCTAAATTAGTTTTCTCATCAGTCTACACACTAACCCATGACAAAGCAAAACAATTTTTTTTAAGCAAATGTGTTCACATTTTACATGAGTATTCAGACCCCTTAATTTATTGCAGCGACTACAGCCTCGTGTCTTGGTTATGACGCTACAAACTTGGCACACCTGTATTTGGGGCGTTTCTTCCCTACAGACCCTCAAGTGCAGTCAGGTTGGCTGGGGCGCGTCACTGCACAGCTATTTGCAGGTCTGCCGTTAGATCGTTTTCAAGTCCAGGCTCTGGCTGGGACACTCAAGGACTTGTCCCGACGCCACTCCTACGTTGTCTTGGCTGTCTGCTTATAGTCGTCCTGTTGGAAAGTTAACCTTTGCCCCAGTCTGAGGTCCTGAGTGCTCTGGAGTAGGTTTTCAATGATCTCTCTGTAATTTGCGCCATTAATCTTTCCCTCAATCCTGACTAGTCTCCCAGTCCCTGCTGCTGAAACATCCCCACAGCATGATGCCACCATGCTTCAATTCAATCTTGGTTTCAACAGACCAGAGAATCTTGTTTCTCATGGTCAGTCCTTTATGTGGCTTTCGGGAAACTACAAGCGGGCTGTTGTGCCTTTTACGGCGTGGCGTCCGTCTGGCCACTACCATTAAGGCCTGATTGGAGTGCTGCGGAGATGGTGGTCCTCCTCGAAGTTTCGTCCATCTCCACAGAGGTGCTCTGTCAGCGTGACCATTGGGTTCTTTGTCACCTCCCTGACCAAGGCCCATCTCCCCCAATTGCTCAGTTTGGCTGCCAGCTCTAGGAAGAGTCTTGGTGGTTCCAAACTTCCATTTTAAGAATGGAGGCCACAGTTCTTGGACCTTCAATGCTGAATAAATTTTTTTGGTACCCTTCTCCAGATATGTGCCTCGACACCACCCTATTTAATATTTTTCTTGACCTCCATTGAGTCATTTAGTGCAAAACCCAAGTCACAGGTTCACTAGGCTAAAAATGGACCAGCCCATCTGACGTTTGCCCAAAATGCCAGATGGCCAGTCCATCCCTGGGGTCTTATGTGGAACGAGGTCTTAGGCCTGTTTCCAACCCCAGTTTAATCAGTCGCCCCCCCCCCCCCCCCCCCCCAAATAATTGTGAGTCTTATGTATCAGCAGTCTGTGGCGTAGGCCTATCCTCAAAGTCAAGAATGGAAAGGCTTTGGTCAAGTTCCTCCCTGACTACATTGCAGACACATGCCAGATCTTACAATGCCTGGATACGTATTCAACAAATCAGCTAACCATATATAGCAATCTGATGCCCAACTGGACAGTCAAATATGTTCCACACAACCATTGCAATGTCAATGCATCTAGTCGGGCAGGAACTCTACCTTTGCTACTGTCAAATGCACAAGGGTTTTTTTTTAACCCAAAAAATTACTGGGAGTTTATACAGAGTGTGTGACTCTTTATAGCTTAGTTTATTCTCAGTTGGTCAGCAACTCTACACTAAGTGATGTTCTCTGGGTGTGTGCCAGCTCATACTTTTTATTAGCCAATTGACACAAACTTCTATGGCTGCATTTATACAGGCAGGCCAATTCTGATCTTTTTACACTAATTGGTCTTGACCAATCGCTGATCAGATTGGTCAAAAGACCAATAAGTGGAATAAGATCAGAATTGGGCTGCCTGTCTGAATGCAGCCAACTTCCCTAGGGTTCTGGGCCCATATTCACAAAGCATCTGCGTATGGAACTGCTGATCTAGGATCGGTTTTGCCTTTTTAGATCAGTACACTTAAGCCTTGTTCACATTGCAGGCCTTAATGCGCATGTTTTTCCAAATCAGTTTTGGAATACTGACTGTCCAAACAGCAAGTGACAATCGGATTTGTGTGTTTGGACAGCAGTCATTTGCTGACATGGCTACGCTAGTTGTCGTAGTAACGACGGGTGTATGCGCAGTAGTGTGGGCTGATTGGTGTTGCTGGTGCTTCATATCACTCAGTTATGTAGAAAGCTAAAATGACAAAGCCAGCCATGGATGTTTCCGAGTTGCTTTGAATGTTGAAAATCAGTGTTAAGTACACGTTTAAAGCCTCAAAGGATAAGATGAAACAACTTTTAAAACAAGTCATTTTTGGTTCTCCACAGCAGTCAACTAGCTAGGTATACTGAACAAAAATATAAATGCAACGATTTCAAAAGTTTTTATGATTTACACTTAATATAAGGAAATCAATAAATTAGGCCCTAATCTATGGATTTCACATGACTGGGAATACAGATATGCATCTGTTGGTCACAGATAAAAAAAGTAGGGGAGTGGATCAGAAAACCAGTCAATATCTGGTGTGTCCACCATTTGCCTCATGCAGTGCGACATCTTCGCATATAGTTGATCAGGCTGTTGATTGTAGTCTGGAATGTTGTCCCACTCCTCTTCAATGGCTGTGCGATGTTGGTGGGAACTGGAACACACTGTCAGACACGTCGATCCAGAGCATCCCAAACTTGCTCAATGGGTGACATGTCTGGTGAGTATGCAGGCCATGGAAGAACTGGGACATTTTCACCTTCCAGTATTTGTGTACAGATCCTTGCGACATGGGGCTGTGCATTATCATGCTGAAACATGAGGTGATGGCGGCAGAAGAATGGAACAACAATGGGCCTCAGGATTTCATCACGGTATCTCTGTGCATTCAAATTGCCATCGATAAAATGCAATTGTGTTCGTTTTCCGTAGCTTATGCCTGCCCATACCATAACCCCACCGCCACCATGGGGCACAATGTTCACAACGCTGACTTCAGCAAACAACTCGCCCACACGATGCCATACACGTGGTCTGAGGTTGTGAGGCTGGTTGGATGTACTGCCAAAATCTCTAAAATGATGTTGGAGGCGGCTTATGGTAGAGAAATGAACATTCAATTCTCTGGCAACAGCTCTGGTGGACATTCCTGCAGTCAGCATGCCAAAACTTGAGACATCTGTGGCATTGCATTGTGTGACAACTGCACATTTTAGAGTGGCCTTTTATTTTCCCCACTACAATGTGCATCTGTGTAATGAACATGCTGTTTAATCAGCTTCTTGATATGCCACACCTGTCAAGTGGATGGATTATGTTGGCAAAGGAGAAATGCTCACTAACAGGGATGTAAACACATTTGTGCACAAAATTTGAGAGAAATAAGCTTTTCGTTTGTATGGAACATTTCTGGGATCTTTTATTTCAGCTCATGGGACCAACACTTTACATTTGTTTTGGTGTGTTTATTTTTGTTCAGTGTAGATAGCTGTTTAGCTTTCTAGCACATTCACTAATTTGTTTGTAAACAATTAACAAGCTAGTTAGCTACCATATGTTCTTGTCAAACTGTCAACAGAGTAGCTAGCAAGCAACAAGATCAAATCAAATCACATTTTATTTGTCACAGGCGCCGAATACAACCTTACCGTGAAATGCTTACTTACAAGTCCTTAACCAACAGTGTAAATGTCTACCTGTGTAAATAGTCCGGTTGGCCATATTATTAATTGTTCAGCAGTCTCATGGCTTGGGGGTAGAAGCTGTTAAGGAGCCTTTTGGACCTAGACTTGGCGCTCTGGTACAGCATGCCGTGCGGTAGCAGAGAGAACAGTATGACTTGGGTGACTGGAGTCTTTGACAATTTTTTGTGCCTTCCTCTGACACCGCATAGTATATAGGTCCTGGATGGCAGGAAGCTTGGCCCCAGTGTTGTACTGGGCCGTACGCACTTCCCTCTGTAGCGCCTTACGGTCGGATGCCGAGCAGTTGCCATACCAGGCGGTGATGCAACCGGTCAGGATGCTCTCGATAATGCAGCTGTAAAACTTTTTGAAGATCTGGAGACCCATGCCAAATCTTTTCAGTCTCCTAAGGGGGAAAAGGTGTTGTCGTGCCCTCTTCACGACTGTCTTGGTGTGTTTGGACGATGTGGACACCAAGGAACTTGAAACTCTCGACCCGCTCCACTACAGCTCCGTTGATGTTAATGGGAGCCTGTTCAGCCCTCCTTTTCCTGTAGTTCACGATCAGATCCTTTGTATTGCTCACATTGAGGCAGAGGTTGTTGTCCTGGCACTACACTACCAGGTCTCTGACCTCCTCCCTATAGGCTATCTCATCGTTGTCGGTGATCAGGCCTACCACTGTTGTGTCGTCAGCAAACGTAATGATGGTGTTGGAGTCGTGCTTGGCCACGCACTAAGCACTCACCCCTGAGGGTCCCCAGTGTTGAGGATCAGTGTGTCAGATATGTTGTTGCCTACCCTTACCACCTTGGGGCGGCCCGTCAGGAAGTCAAATAGCAGTCTAAAGAGGGCAAATAAGTCAGATTTGATCGTTCAGTCAAGTCGCACCTACAAAGGTGGTTTGAAATGTGGCTTGAAATATCTGATTCCATGTGCTTTTTGGCTGTTCAAACTGCAGGAAAAATAATTGAATCGGATATGCAAAAAAATAGGATGTGAGTCACTTCAATCTGAGAAGCTTTGTGAATACGGGCCCTGAACCCTAGGGACAGTGTAGGCAGATGAATACCAATCAGCAACACATCGGATTCTATCAACCATATTCTTCATTTAAGACTTGATTGGTATCAGGTGTGTTACTGCTTACTGGAACAAAAGCCTTCACCCACATTGGCATTGCTTTCATCAAACATTCAGTGTGGCAGGGTATCAGAATATTTTTTCCCTCCTTAAATACAATTGAACTCTCGACTAATGAATACACCCTTGTTCTTAGGTCACGGAAAATAACAAAATGTCTCTCAGGATTCAAAACCCCTCTCATTCTCTCTATGGAACCCTCAGATTCTATGGTCTACTCAAACAAATTGATGTTCTCACCAGTTCCAGATAATGTCATCCCCAGGGTGATTTAATGTTGAATACATTTGTGTGTAAAATTGTATTTCAGAATGTAGCAATACTCCATATTTTAGAGCATACTATTAGGAGTATAATGATACCAAGGTGTTGTCTGTATTATGTACATTCCACAGGATGCTGCTGAGGTGAGAACGGCTCATAATAATGGCCGGAACGAAGCAAAAAATGCCTGGAAACCATGTGTTTGATGTATTTGTTACCATTCCACGGATTCCGCTCCAGTCATTAGAATGAGCCTGTTCGTCCTAATTAAGGTGCCACGAACCTCCCATGGTACATTCATGGATCATTATGAATGTACGACGGGAGTGGTACATTCTGTACCACAGGATGGCCACTTTCATCATGGTTTGTGTTACAACAAATGGAAAAAGCATATCAAATATCCTTCCTCCCATGAAGTTTCTATGAGAGAATTGCCAGAACAATCTGAGATACCAAAAATATTTTCAGGCCATCCTGGTCTGGAATCGCCCTTAAGTCTCTGAGGTGTTTGGCTATAAACTAACCTGCCTAACATAGAGACAAAGTTCAAGATACTGTTTGGGGGATACTGTAGGCAATGTAATTCATATCTGTTTTTCCTGTAAGTATATTCTAATGTGTTTTATGTTGATCGTAAATACTTATGTTTGGAAAACAGACACTTGTTTGCAGGAAAAGTCAGCAGTTTCATATTGATTAATTTCCAGTTTCAGTGCGTCATAGTCTTCACACCAAATTAGCTGCATGACTAAAATTATTCTCTTTCATATTTCATGCCATGTTGCAGGCAAGTTTAGTAATCATGCTAAAGAAATATGATTTGATAGTCACTGAAAACGTTTTCTAGGCCTACTCGAGCCATAAGGTGAATTTCTTCAAATTTTGGACACACACTGCAAATGACTATGCACAGAGTGATAATCTACTGACCCTTTCTATTGAAGAGTTTGTCCCACATTCTCAGGTCAGCAAAAAGCCCTGTCTGTCTGTCTGTCTGATTTACCTACAATGTAATGGTTAAACCTTCCAAGGCAAGGCTTGCGACTGCTGCTCGACTGCATGTTGCATGGCCTTCTACCCTGGTGCATACAGCTTGCATAGCTCCTCTGTAGCTCAATTGGTAGAGCATGGCGCTTGTAACGCCAGGGTAGTGGGTTCGATCCCCTGGACCACCCATACGTAAAAATGTATGTACGCATGACTAAGTTGCTTTGGATAAAAGCGTCTGCTAAATGGCATATTATTCTATTATTATAGCTTGCAATCCTTTAATGAAAGATGGCTGATCCTTCCCAGCAACTGCATCATAGGCTTCCCTATGCTCGACTAAACTATGCTTCACATGTCTCTGGGCTGATCCAGCCTATGCCTCAGTAGTTCACAGATCGTCTCGACTTCACAGTCTGCCTGACTCATCAGAGAGCAGCGAGAGATGCCTCCTGTGGAGCATGACCCTTCTGTGACCACATACAACACCTACACAACACTGGGTCTCTTCCTCAATTCATCTGTCTTGATTCCTCCCATCCTCTCCTCGGTTCTTCTCAAAACACATTGGAAAGGGACCTTGGATCTCCACCAATGCATTTTGAGAAGGAGGGAAGACAAGGAATCATGTAAAGATATAGATTGAGAAAAGACACATCAGGCAGGGGGCTGTGATGATGATGATGATGTTGTTCGTTGCTGTACTGTAACTGTATGAGTGGCAGCCCTTGTCATTGGAACTGGCCTGATTTACCTTCAGTAGAACTATCAGTTGTCTGGATTTGTTTGGATGGAACACACAAGAGTTGCAACGGTTGCAGTGACAGTAACAACAGGCGGTAGCACGCAGTACTTTTGTTGCACACACACCATGCATGCGTTTGCCTCATCTCATCTACCCCCTCATGTCTTCTCCCTCTGGCACACCAAAAATGACTCGTCTGCGGTCCTAGTTCTTGTCCTCTCTCTCTCTCTCCCTCTCGCTCCCCCCCCCCCCCCCCCCCCTCTCTCCCCCTCCCCTCACCTCCCTCCTCTCTCTGCCTCCCTCCAGGCATCGTGTCTGTGTGGCTCGGCTCCTACAACTACAACTCTCCTGTATCCAGGCTGGCCTTCTCCTTCCTGCTGCTGCTGGGGACCCTGGTCTCTGTCATCATGATCCTACCTGGCATGGAGACTCAGCTCAAGAAGGTAACTCCACACAACCCTTGTCTTGGTTGCTTGATGAGTAGCCTAGCATGGGTAGGATGGTCATCTGAATCAGGGTTAGTTTGGCAGCTGGGGTGAAAGAGGAGCGATTTACGATAGAGGAAACCAAGTCTAAATGTAACCTTAGCCTGCAGCTTTGATATGTGCTGAGAGAAGGACAGTGTACCGTCTAGCCATACTCCCAAGTACTTGTATGAGGTGACTACCTCAAGCTCTAAACCCTCAGCGGTAGTAATCACACCGGTTGGGAGAGGGGCATTCTTCTTACCAAATCACATGACCTTTGTTGTTGAGGTGTTCAGAACCAGGTTAAGGGCAGAGAAAGCTAGTCACAAGTATTTATTTTCCAAGCTATAGCACACAACAGTTTACATAAAAAAGGTTTTTAAAGGATCCTGGCCAAAAAATATGACCTGTTTTTTTTAAATTTATGGTACACATACAGGACCTGTTTTTGTATGACGCGATGTATTGAATGAATGCCTGTGGCTTTGTCCTCTCAGATTCTGGTTCGTCAAGTTCCTCGTACTGGTGGGGATTACTGTAGGAGCCGTCTTCATTCCAGATGGGACATTCAACACAGGTATACACCATTACTATGATGTTAAATATTTTCCTCTAAACACTAATAACCAGTGGCAATTTTAACATTAAAATATTGGTGGGGGAACTCAATCAACAAAGCTCAAATGCATTGAAATCAGTACACTACACTGGCTACACATTGAATGCACTAATAATCAATCCCAGAAAGGAGTTTTGAGCCACACACAAACGTTATAACATTTGGGTTATTATCAGTTTATGGCTACTTCCCATATCTTTAGCTCATATTGCACGGAAGACCACAGTAGTCGAGCATACTTTTATAGAGTAAACTAGCTAGTAATCGGTCTGCAATATCGCAACTCTGCCTGCCTGTTACAAATGGGCCCGGTTAACAATATGCAACGTTTATAACGCTATTCCCTTGCTTCATCTATTGCACCGTTACAGTTCCATCAAAGGTATTTATAACTTACCCTTCTTGTACATGTGGTTCCATGGGTATTAGTCTGCCATGAAATAGCAACAATAAGACATGTAGCTTACAGGGTATTATAGCTAGCCTACCTCAAAACCAATGTTAGCCACTGCTTCATGATCCACCACCAACCACTCCACTTGAATCTTCTTTTCCAGCTTGCTTTACTTTAAAGTTTAGGTGGCTAATGAGCACCGAGACGTTTTATCTCTACATTTCTTTCATAATGCTAAGTTTGAAAATCATTCACTAGGTGATAGCAAAGCTAGTCGACATGTTTCAGCTAGCTTAACTACCTAGCTTGAAGATGTGGTAAACAACTAGCTATCTATGAAGTTGACACATCAGTCCAATCAAAGTTACCGGGCGTAAGATGTTGATTTATCTGTGGCCAATGACAATGAGCCTTCTTGGGCATGCACTGCTACTGTAAATCAATGGAGCACCGATTAGGGGCTTTTGCTGGCTAGCTCTCTCAGCAGGTGCTGTGATGACGTAGTGTCCCCATGAGTGACCGCACCCTCAGCCAATCATGTGCAACCAGAGAAGATCAACGAATTCTGCGCTCTGTACTTTCTGTCTGCCCCTCCACCACAGAAAGAACCCGAGCTGCCTTACTCAATGGAAATTTACCAAAACAACAATACAATTGGAAAGCGCCCACGTATGCTTGATTAGATCAAGCAATTTTTTTAATACAATTACATTTTTGCTAACTGATATGATATATTGTTGTGACATGAAATAACAGAATTGCATGCAAATCTCTTTGATATTGGTGGGCCCGGCCCACGTGACGCATCGCCACTGCCAAGAACGTGTAGTCAATTATGGTCAATTAAACAGACCTTCCACATGTTGTCTTTTAACAAACTCACTGTGTGTGTGTGTGTGTTCCAGTGTGGTTCTACATTGGTGTGGTGGGTTCGTTCATCTTCATCATCATCCAGCTGATCCTGCTTGTGGACTTTGCTCACACCTGGAACCAGTCCTGGCTGGAGAATGCTGTGGAGGGAAATAGCAAGTGCTGGTTCTCAGGTACTGATCGTTAATACGGTCTACTGATTTAAAACGGTGTAGTCTAACTCATTTAAATTCACATTTTCTGAATGTTTTCTCCAGGTTTGGGTCAATTCCATTTTTATTCAGTCAGTTCAGGAAGTAATCTGAAATTCCCTGAAGAAAATAGGAATGTCAGTATAATTCATGAATTGAAATGGAATTGACGCTTATCCTGGTTTTCCCCTAGTGACAATGGAAAACATTTCATAACATCCATAATGGGATGTATTCTTATGTTTCCCCTCCCACAGCTCTCCTGTCGTTCACGGTGCTGCACTATGCCCTTCTCTGCTGTGGTGTTGTTCTGTGTCTATTACACCACGGGAGACGACTGCACTGAACACAAGGTTTTCATCAGCCTCAACTTCATCATCTCCATCATTGCCATCCTGCCCAAAGTTCAGGTGATGTTTCAGTCTCGCAAAAAAGAGATTGATATGTAGTGTCGAGTCAATGTTGCTAGTTATTGCTGTAACAAAGGAGTCCGCTTATACTGAACTTTGATCATAAGGTTTATTCATATCACAAGATTTCAGCATAAGTTTACGGGTGTCATGATCCCCCCCGGAGAGCAGCGTTTCCCAAATCGCAATGGCCGCTCTAACCTCTTCTTCGTTTAAACCCAGTATATATAATCTTCCCCAAAATATGGGTGGCTCCCTCTCCCTACTGTCCAATCCCCTGTCTACAACACAGACTTCTCTGTCCCATGTGGCGTGTCACACTAAAACCATTCCTCTGACACTAAATAAACATCCTCTCAGGTTCCACTTAAACCCATTAACAAAGTCATAATCTTAATACACTACATTCCCCCCTTCGAGACTAACTAAAAGTCTCAAAAACAAACAGAATAGGATTATGACAAGTAACCATTTATCTTATTGAGTATATTTAACCATAAACCAAAAACACTTCTGTCTGGAGTGTAAATACCTTTCTATGAAATATGAACAAATCTTTATGAAGTGTGAATACATTACTATGAAATATGAACAAATCTTTATGAAGTGTGAATACATTACTATGAAATATGAACAAATCTTTATGGAGTGTAAGAGCAAAAAACTGTCTGGCAGCCTTCTTTCCAAATATCCATCCATCAATCAAGACAGTAAAATTCTCTCACGGCCCCTCTGCCCCAGGCAACCACCTAGGTACTCCAGATCAATTCATACATCTTTATCAATGCATTTCAAACTATGATGCCATTAAATACACATGAAATCCCCAGCAAACAAAATACTATCCCAAAAATTTCCACACTAAGGCTGGTCGACCCATCGGACCCTACAGTGGATCTCTATCCCTGCCTAGACTCCATGTCCCTAAGCATTCACAAAATAAACAAAAACATCTAAGATCCCCACATGCATTCAATAACATCAAATATCATTCTACAAAAAGTAATACCTAAGAATATGACACAAATTATGTATTACACATGCAAATATGTCTATATTTCATTGCAGACACTGGAATGTAGTCCACTACACTTAATCTCCCCAGCAGTGTTGACTTCCAATGCATCGTTGATGATGGAATCGGAACCTTTCCACACCTTCCTTGTTCCATCTCCTCCAGTCATTCTCCTTTCATATTGTCCCTTCATATTGTCCTTGTTTGAGTATTTCAATCTCTACATATTCCCCCAAATGCTTCTGGAAGAAAAGAAAAGACCAAACAGTATCTTTTGCAAAACAACACTTTCAAATTAAAACATCAATATCAACTAAGAATATAAAAAATTATATAAAATGATATATGAATCACATGATCCTATTTCCCCCTTTGATTCATAACATCATACTAAAATCACACTAATATTGAAAAACATTTGAAAAATGATCAAATAATCAAAAAGGATATTTATCCATCAATACTCCATCCAGTCCCACTTGTCCCTCTTCATCCAGATCAGGAACAGTCAACAACGGCATCTGAGTGTTGTCTCCAGGCATCACTACTCCAACCTATCTCAATATCATAGCTTTCTCAAAGGTCAGTAACAAATTACAAAAGAAAAACATCACACACAGTGCTATCAGATCTGCTACTAAAATCTGAACCATCACTGCTCCCACTGGGCCTAACTGATCTTGCAACCAAGACTTCACTGACCATCCAGCTCCTTCAGATCTACCAAATGCATCCCTTATATTTTTCAATGCATCTATAACACTAGTGATATTATCTGAACTATCTGGAATCAAAGTATAGGTAATATTATCAATATGATCTTCCCAAATTTTACACCATACCATGGAAAAATCCCCACTTCTCTCTTAGACTTATCCTCCAATGATAGGCTTCCCAGACTATGAAACTTCTCTCTTTCAGAATCAGATTTATCTCTTTCCTGTGCTTCCCCTCTTTTAATTTTAAAACCTCATATGGAAGCTTCAACTTCTAACAATATCCTTTCCATCCATAGGTAAGAATATATACTCTCTCACCACAAACCCCTAAATAACTCTAAAATTCCCCCTAGTCACATTATCATTCAAAACTTCTCTCCACATGAGAGGAATCTCACCTCTACACATTCCTCCTCTCACATCTACAAGAAAATTAGCTTTATCACTCATCCTAACCCTAATAACAGTCTTTTCCTCTAAAATTGGTGCTAGAGCTATTGGCTCCCTTGTAATCAAATGTGATATATTTATAGCTTTAATAACTGTCAATGTTGAAAGAGTTAAATTGCTTCTCACTATTGTTTCAATATGCTGAAGTGTTGATGTCATTGTTGTTACTTCATCCATTCTCCCTAAAACTTTTTACTTTTTACTTGTATTTCCATCTATCACCACTAGTTCTCTCTCTCTTCCTACTAACTAACATTGAAACTTAGCTTACTGCCCTAGAGTTCCTTCAACCCTAGTTTTCCTAACTTTTTTTTTTATCTAACTTTTCTCCTAACTTTTAAAACATTTTCCACTGATTTATTCACAAAATCCTTTTACCACCAATTTTTAGAATATGTGATTGGGAAGTCCCCACCTGCTTCTGACTTCTTTACACACAGACTTGGCAAACGATCGAACATCTTTTAGCCTAGTTTGAAATCTCTTTCCCCTCTTGGTGTAGGAATGTAACCAAGAATAACAGTCACCCCTTTTAACTTTATTTTTCAGACAGATTGTCTAATAGGCAGTCTAATAGATTGTCATCCTTCCTATGATATTATCTTTTCAAGCAAATATGATTCCCAAAAACCCTACTTTTTAAAAATCTTCTACCAGACAGCCGTCTAGTGTACATCTTATTGTACAGTTCAGTTTACACCATGCATCTCTTCCCAACAATGCAATAGGTATATGTTCTAATACCAGTATGTGTATTTTAATTTCTCTTTGATTTTTTTATAGCAGAGCTCAATTGGTTCCTTAAGAGTAATCAGCTGGTTTACTCCCTCAAATCCCTATCCTAATTAGTTAATTTTACATAGTGAGATGTTTAACCTCTTTAGGCTCAACACAGATAAAAGCTTTTCCTCTATTCCTTCTTCTAGTCCTTTTTATTTTCACTTCAATTGTTGGATATTTTCTTCTTCTCCCTAAATCGGTGCTATCAGCTGACACCCCCCTTCGGATCTTCTAGGCACTAGAATCCTTGCTCCTTTAAGGGTTCACCTGGAGAACAGGTGATCTTCACTTGCTCCTTTATCTTCCTCAGAAATTCCCTCTGTTGTTTCCTCCTGGCGCATTGCACTCACAGGTAAAGTAACCAGCCTGTCCACAATTATAACACTCTTCTGAAAGTTGCTGGAAGTGTAGCTGAAACCTTCCTCCTCCTTCTAAGCCTTCTCGTCCTCTTCCTCTCCAATGCTGTGTCTGTCCAGAAACTGACTGTGGATATGGAACAACTGGTACCGCCATTGGTGGCTGATACAATTGCATTTGACCTTGTTCAGTTGAAGCTATGGCAGTGATTGTTGATTTGGTGCACAATGATTCTTCATAACCAAAGCTTGTTTCTTCTTCTTCTTCTTTTTCTTCTCCTTCCCCAGTTGTATTTGATTGAGTAGAGTTTCTTGGTCCTGCTCTTTCTTGTTGTTGACATATCAGTATTCTACAAAAGGTTATATTCTAAGTTCTGTCCTCGAAATATCATCTTCCATCATCTTCTTACTTTTCTTCAGCTTCTTGAGTTGTTCCTCCAGTTGTGTTACTTCTTCTAAATCATTCGCTTTATCCAGGCATGATACGCATCGGTCTATATCTCTTTCTATTTCTTCTTTGCTAATCATTGTTGGATAAAATCCTCTTGAATATGAAGCACCTTTAATCTCAAAATCTTCATCGCTGTCTTCATCTTTGCTTTCATCAGAAATCGAATCTCTTGTATCCTTCTTCCTTCAACTTCCATCAGAGATCAAATCTCTAGTATCCTTCTTCTTTCCTCTCTTGCCAACTTCCTTCTGATCACAGAGTCATATCCACCCATGATCTCTTCTCAATCACTCTGATCATCATCATCAGCATCATCATCTTCAAGTTCCATCTTCCTTAACCTCACTCTTCTCTTCCAGACATCTCATTTTCTTCCTTTTGGAGTTTTCTTTTATCTTTATGGTCGTTTCTGCTTCTCCTCTCTCTATTATTCAATCACTTTCATCATGTTGATGACGTCAGGGTTAAGATTCCCTCTACTTGCTATGGTTGTTCAATGTCAGGCCAACTTTTGTTCCCTTTTCCAGACAACCTTTAGTTAATGGTATTGCAATGTTTACTATTTTCAACTATATCAACAGGTGTAATTACCTTCATAGTCCTGATATCCTTTTTCCCCATTGTAACAACTCTTTTATATTCCTTTAATGTGAATTATTTTATTTAGACTATATAGCCTATGGCTTCCTCCCTTTAATTATTAATATAAAAAAAAAAAAAAAAAAAAAAAAAACATTTTCCCCTAAATAATAAAAATTAATCAATAGAAAATTAAACAATTACTCAATAAATTTATGAATAATCAAAAATATTTTTTTTATTTATATTTCCTATTTTACTAATTTATCAATTAGTGGCTATCTTACCCCTCCTGATTGAAGGTGGTATGTATAATATCTATAATCCAGCAACACTACAGTACTCATAAATCCCATTGCTTAATAAGCATCCAATTATCTTAATTTTACAGAATAATGTTAGTACTCGATTTCCAACAGAACTCTAATCAAACCCACTCATTCACAGAAACTCCAAAATGCAATTTTTATTCAATCAGTCTTTTGCCAAGTCTTTGCGAAATTGTCATAACATGAAATATCCTGTAGGGGAAGATTTTGTAAACAGAACAGCACTAAAACCTTTTGACTCGATCCTCTGTCGCGTCACCCCTTGTCACGTGATGTACACGTCAGCACCTCCTCTCTTTCTCTCTCTCTCCTCTCGTCCCATCGCCTCTCATATGACAAAAGAACAGAGAAACATACAAGAATTTAGCAGTTTATGCAGTCACTGAGTCACTTCAACCATTCAATATTCCTCCGTTCACATTCGCTCTAAGAATTAACTCAGGAATAATTATAGATAGCTCAATAACATTTATTTATTTATTTTAATCCGTCATTTTATTTTATTTATTTTAATCCGTCAACATATCTAATTTATCAATTCAATAGATCTCAACAAATAGTTTCATCTTCAAACAACAGCCGATGTAACAACTAGAACATTCCATTCGTGTTCAAATCTCTACGTTCGTCTGTGTCTGTGTCTCCCCCCCTTGCACCGTGTAGCAGAGGCATATTCTCCCTACGTAACTCTAGTATCGTAAAATCACACGCATGCGTAGTACATTCATCACCACGATTTCAGCGTGGACGGGAGCCCCAGACAACAGAACGTTAGCATTCTGCTATAGCTCCTCTCTTTTACCCTTTATAGACAAACAATAACACTTAACAGAGCTCACAAAGCATATAACTTAATAAATAATAATAATTGGTCATTTAGCAGACGCTCTTATCCAGAGCGACTTACAGGAGCAATTAGGGTTAAGTGCTTTGCTCAAGGGCACATCGACAGATTTTTCACCTAGTCGGCTCGGGGATTAGAACCAGCGACCTTTCGGTTACTGGCACAACGCTCTTAACCACTAAGCTACCTGCCGCCCATTATTATTATTATTATTATTATTTATTATTATATAACTTAAATTCTACACAAACAAACATAATTTAAGAGGCTATATTCCATCGCAATGGCCCTCTAATGTTAGCATGTAGCATGTAGCACAATTAGCATTAGCATTTAGCATTAGCATGTATGTAACATGTGGCATGCAACATGTAGCAATGTAACCTGCATTGCGCCTAAATTATTTTTCTTTGTCCCTACCTTATATGATGCTGTGAGTTCTGGATATTCTATGAGAGGTTCCCCCAAACATATACCCCGTCGGATACAAGATGAGCAGTAACTTGCAATAGAATATATAACCACTCTCCAGTCCCAGACTGACCTCAAACACATATAACGCGTAAAAGGATTTTCGGCCCATCCTAAGATCACCTCCCTGAGGTCTTTACAAGATTGCAATGCCCTAATTTGTATACGTATCTCTGCCTTGCATATCTGCCTTATTCACTACCATCGATTGTTCTAGAATTCCTATTCAAACCTATTTCTATAGACACATATTTCTATAGCCACTCCTATAGGCTCTCTCTCCCCCTTTTGCGCTGTCTACCAGTGCAAATAAATTTATAATGATTAGGCCAGACCCCTAGTTCTCAGCAATAAAGCAACACAAAGCACACATCGGTCCGCAACGGTACATCTCTCCAGCGCACACTCAAATAGCCTCCAAACTAACAAATGCCCAAAGTGGTGAGGAACTCACCCTTATCTGGCCATGACTTCGGAACGAGAGTCAGCTTGGTGCATGAATGGAACAAAGGAGAGATGCAGACCCTCCCTTTTCATGACGCCATTTGTAGTGTTGAGTCAATGTTGCTAGTTATTGCTGTAACAAAGGAGTCCGCTTATACTGAACTTTGATCATAAGGTTTATTCATATCACAAGATTTCAGCATAAGTTTACGGGTGTCATGATCCCCCCCGGAGAGCAGCGTTTCCCAAATCGCAATGGCCGCTCTAACCTCTTCTTCGTTTAAACCCAGTATATATAATATTCCCAAAAATATGGGTGGCTCCCTCTACTGTCCAATCCCCTGTCTACAACACAGACTTCTCTGTCCCATGTGGCGTGTCACACTAAAACCATTCCTCTGACACTAAATAAACATCCTCTCAGGTTCCACTTAAACCCATTTAACAAAGTCATAATCTTAATACACTACAGATCCCTGCACACCGTTGAAAGTTCCTGCAGTTTTATTGAGTACAATATTTATTTGCAGGCTGTTTCAGTCTTGTTCCTCTCTCTTTGAAATACATACACATCCTGAAGTTAATTCAGGGGTGGAAATATTAGCAATGTTTGCAATTATCAAGATCATCAAAATGTTAAACAATGACACAGTGAACTATTTGTTCATGTGAATGTAGTTGAACAGAAGTTAGAGACTGATGTTTTGTGTGTCTATCAGTTAATTGTTTTATTGTCCCCCAGGAGGCCCAACCAAGCTCAGGCCTGCTCCAGGCCTCCCTCATCTCCCTCTACACCATGTATGTCAACTGTAAGTCGCTTTGGATAAAAGCGTCTGCTAAATGGCATATTATTATTATTATTATTATAACCCCAGTAAGTCTCGTCATGACCCTGCTGATGACCCTGTTCAGTCATTGGTTAAGAGTCATGGTTCAGTTCATGCATTAAAGATTACCTGATGTTACCTTGACTCGCATAGCTGCATGCTGACAAAAAAATGAAATCGCTTGATGGGAAGTCTGGAACAAAGACTTTAAATGTGAAGAAACATATTTTACCCGAAAGATAAACTTCGGTCAGTGAACACTTCATCCCACATTAGATGAGTTGCAGCCAAAAATGACAAGAGAAAGAGTAAGTAAAATAGATGTGACTCTAGCTCATAATTAAACGCTGATGATTTGTCATTTTCTTTAGGTTTAAAAGCATACCATTTTGTCCTTCAATGGCATTCATCAGAATGACAATATTCTATCTCTCTCCCTATAGACCGTAAGTTTAACCCCAGCCTGCTGAGTCTGGTGAACAACACCTCCACCCCTACACCTGCCCCAGCGCAAGGGGTCCAGTGGTGGGATACACAGGGCATCATAGGACTGGTCATCTTCTTCTGCACTCTCTACGCCAGATATGAAGTTGCAACCTAGAGTAGGGTTCTCTCCAATCCTGGAGACCCACTGGACCGGGCACTCTTTGTAGCAGCCCAGACCAGAGACACCTGATCGAAGTACTGGGCTAGAGTAAACATGTGCAAGCCTGTGTGTCCTCAGGACTGGGTTTGAGAAACACTGATTCAGAGCTATGTTTCAAATGAAATCCAGACTATTCGAGCCTGTCCACAGGCTTTTGAACAGCGCCGGAGAAGATGGCTGCCGTTTTACAGCCCTCTAACCAATTGTACTATTATGTGTGTTTTTACGCGTTATTTGTAATTTATTTTGTACATAATGTTTCTGCCATCGTCTCTTATAACCAAAAAGAGCTTCTGGATATCAGGACAGCGATTACTCACCTCGTATTGGACGAAGATTTTTTCTTCAACGAGGCGGCCGCGAAGGATATCCTACAGACACCCGACAAGGCCCAAATCCCCGTCATTCGCATGAGGAAGAGACGGAGATATCGTGGACGTAGGTCAGGGTGCCTTGTAAGGATCTGACGGCGAGCGAGTAAACTGCCGCTCCCATCAATCCTATTAGCCAATCTTCAATCATTGGAGAACAAATTGGATGACCTAAGATTACAGTTATCCTACCAACGGGACATTAAAAACTGTAATATATTATGTTTCACCGAGTCGTGGCTGAACGACGACATGGATAACATACAGCTAGCAGGCTATACGCTACATCGGCAGGATAAAACGGCTGACTCCGGTAAGACAAGGGGTGGCGGTCTGTGTATATTTGTAAACAACAGCTGGTGCACAAAATCAAATACTAAGGAAGTCTCAAGGTTTTGCTCGCCTGAGGTAGAGTATCTTATGATAAGCTGTAGACCACACTATTTACCAAGAGAGTTTTCATCTATATTTTTCATAGCTGTCTATTTACCACCACAAACCAATGCTGGCATTAAGATTGCACTGAATGAGCTGTATAAGGCCATAAATCAACAGGAAAATGCTAATCCAGATGCAGCGCTCCTAGTGGCCGGGGACTTTAATGCAGGGAAACTTAAATCCGTTCTACCTAATTTCTACCAGCATGTTAAATGTGCAACCAGAGGAAAAAAAACTCTAGACTACCTTTACTCCACACACAGAGACGCATACAAAGCTCTCCCTCACCCTCCATTTGGCAAATCTGACCATAACTCTATCCTCCTGATTCCTGCTTATAAGCAAAAACTAAAGCAGGAAGCACCAGTGACTCGGTTAATTAAAAAGTGGTCAGATGACACAGATGCTAAGCTACAGGACTGTTTTGCTAGCACAGACTGGAACATGTTCCGGGATTCTTCAGATAGCATTGAGGAGTACACCACATCAGTCACTGGCTTCATCAATTAGTGCATCGATGATGTCGTCCCCACAGTGACCGTACGTACATACCCCAACCAGAAGCCATGGATTACAGGAAACATCCGCACTGAGCTAAGGGTAGAGCTGACGCTTTCAAGGAGCGGGACTCTAACCCGGACGCTTATAAGAAATCCCGCTATGCCCTCCGACGAACCATCAAACAGGCAAAGAGTCAATACAGGACTAAGATTGAATCGTACTACACTGGCTCTGATGCTCGTCGGATGTGGCAGGGCTTGAAAACTATTACAGACTACAAAGGGAAGCACAGCCGCGAGCTGCCCAGTGACACAAGACTTCCAGACGAGCTAAACCACTTCTATGCTCGCTTCGAGGCAAGCAACACTGAAGCATGCATGAGAGCACCAGCTGTTCCGGATGACTATGTGATCACGCTCTCCGTAGCCGATGTGAGTAAGACTTTTAAGCAGGTCAACATTCACAAGGCCGCAGGGCCAGACGGATTACCAGGACGTGTACTCCGAGCATGTGCTGACCAACAGGCAAGTGTCTTCACTGACATTTTCAACATGTCCCTGACTGAGTCTGTAATACCAACATGTTTCAAGCAGACCACCATAGTCCCCGTGCCCAAGGACTCTAAGATAACCTGCCTAAATGACTACCGACCCGTAGCACTGACGTCTGTAGCCATAAAGTGCTTTGAAAGGCTGGTCATGGCTCACATCAACACCATTATCCCAGAAACCATAGACCCACTCCAATTTGCATACCGCCCCAACAGATCCACAGATGATGCAATCTCTATTGCACTCCACACTGCCCTTTCCCACCTGGACAAGAGGAACACCTACGTGAGAATGCTATTCATTGACTACAGCTCAGCATTCAACACCATAGTGCCCTCAAAGCTCACCACTAAGCTAAGGATCCTGGGACTAAACACCTCCCTCTGCAACTGGATCCTGGACTTCCTGACGGGCCGCCCCCAAGTGGTAAGGGTAGGTAACAACACATCTGCCACACTGATCCTCAACACGGGGGCCCCTCAGGGGTGCGTGCTCAGTCCCCTCCTGTACTCCCTGTTCACCCATGACTGCATGGCCAGGCACGACTCCAACACCATCATTAAGTTTGCCGACGACACAACAGTGGTAGGCCTGATCACCGACAACGATGAGACTAGGGAGGAGGTCAGAGACCTGGCCGTGTGGTGCCAGGACAACAACCTCTCCCTCAACGTGACCAAGACAAAGGAGATGATTGTGGACTACAGGAAAAAAAAGAGGACTGAGCACGCCCCCATTCTCATCGACGGGGCTGTAGTGGAACAGGTTGAGAGCTTCAAGTTCCTTGGTGTCCACATCACCAACGAACTATCATGGTCCAAACACACCAAGACAGTCGTGAAGAGGGCACGACAAAGCCTATTCCCCCTCAGGAGACTGAAAAGATTTGGCATGGGTCCTCAGATCCTCAAAAAATTATACAGCTGCACCATCGAGAGCATCCTGACTGGTTGCATCACCGCCTGGTATGGCAACTGCTTGGCCTCCGACCGCAAGGCACTCCAGAGGGTAGTGCGTACGGCCCAGTACATCACTGGGGCCAAGCTTCCTGCCATCCAGGACCTCTATACCAGGCGGTGTCAGAGGAAAGCCCTCAAAATTGTCAAAGACTCCAGCCACCCTAGTCATAGACTGTTCTCTCTGCTACCGCACGGCAAGCGGTACCGGAGTGCCAAGTCTAGGTCCAAAAGACTTCTCAACAGCTTCTACCCCCAAGCCATAAGACCCCTGAACAGCTAATCATGGCTACCCGGACTATTTGCACTGCCCCCCCCCCACGTCATCCTTTTACGCTGCTGCTACTCTGTTAATTATTAATGCATAGTCACTTTAACTCTGCCCACATGTACATATTACTTCAACTACCTCAACTAGCCGGTGCCCCCGCACATTGACTCTGCACCGGTACCCCCCTGTATATATAGCCTCCCTACTGTTATTTTATTTTCCTTCTGCTCTTTTTTTCTGAACACTTTTTTTGTTGTTGTTTTATTTTTACTTTTTTGTTTAAAATAAATGCACTGTTGGTTAAGTGCTGTAAGTAAGAATTTCACTGTAATGTCTGCACCTGTTGTATTCGGCGCATGTGGCCAATAAAATTTGATTTGATTTGATCACGTCCCCTTTTTCCTGACGGGTTCCTGCTCTTTCCTTCTCCTCCCCTGTAGCATCCGTTCGTCCAACAACACCCAGGTGAACAAGCTGATGCAGACAGTAGAGGGCCAGGGTCTGGCTGCAGACAACCACGAGGCGGCCACGAGGGAGGACGGGGCCAGACGGGCCGTGGACAACGAGGAAGAGGGGGTCACCTACTCTTACTCCTTCTTCCACTTCAGCCTGTTCCTGGCCTTCCTCTACATCATGATGACACTCACCAACTGGTACCAGTAAGTAGCTCTGTTTTCTTTGGTTATATCTGAGGGGATAGAGGAACAGGGATGTGTACAGGTATAACTGAGGTGATTCACGTTGTTCGAGACCTGGAGATTTGCGTCAACTCCCCGAGATAATGCCTGGGCTTTAGGTCAGCAGGCTATCAGTCTTGTGGTACTCCAACGACCCAATTTCAAACCATCACACATGGTCTACTTTGTGTTTTTGAGATGGTAAATAAAATGTGATTGATCCTGATCTCTCCTCTCCCCAGACCTGACGCAGACTACCAGGCCATGCAGAGAAGTATGCCAGCTGTGTGGGTAAAGATTAGCTCTAGATGGATAGGCCTGGCTCTCTACCTCTGGACCCTGGTAGCTCCTCTCATCCTCTCTAACCGAGACTTCAACTAAAGGCATATACATTCCATCCAGGGCTGTCCCAAATGGCACCCCTGTTCCCAAGTAGGAATAGGGTGGGTGTCTTTTCAGATTTGCTGAGGGACTTAACTGTTTGGCATGTTTTGATTTATACTATTTGGTCAGAATGTTTTTAAAAACATATATTTTAATTGTGTTGCTTGAAGGAAGGGATCATTGTCATGTCTTATAACTGTAAGTCGCTCTGGATAAGAGCGTCTGCTAAATGACTAAAATGTAAATGTTATACATTTTTATTTTCAGGCTGGTCTCATTGACTAGACGTAACATAGTAAACAAAATTATGGGACACTCAAATGAGTATATGTTATGTTTGGTATGGTTACAAAAACAGGTTACTTAAGATAAAAAACTAAAGGAGGGTGGTTGGTCGGGGTGGATGGGTGGGTGAATCTCATCACGGACAACTTTAACATTTTAGCTAATTGGCAACTTTGCAACTACTTAGCATGCTAGCTAATCCTAACCTTAACCCTAACATTAATCCTTAAATCTAAACCTGTGGGGGGGTTCTACAAAAAAAAATCAATCAATAGGAAGTTTGTTTTAAAGTGTCTGTCCTGTCAAGAGATATAAGAGAGATCCGAAAATTATAGGTTTTTAAATTAAGAACAGGAAGCATAGAACAGATCTACTGCTTCTTAGACTTGCTTTCAATGAGAATGACAGATCTATAACACACATTTCTATATGAATTTGGTCGGGTCACCCAAAAATTTAACTTTAACCAGCTTTCTTTGGGCACTAAACTACTTCCATACATGTCCACATTATTATTTATTTTTTACTGGTACCGGGCTACCTTCAGACGAGGCTTGTGGGCGTCCTAGAGCAAAACATCGAGGGGTCATATTAGTGTGTAGCCCAAACTGTTCGGACACTACAGACAGAAGTTAGCAGATCAGCAGTACCGACTTCAGACGAGTCCCGTGACGCTTGTGGTGGTCATATTCATGACAATCCTCTTCCCATAGTGGTCATATTAGTTTGTAGGCCAAACCGTTCAGACGACGCTACTGACGTTTTCGTGAGAAGACCGATTTTCGGGATGTCTCATGGTATGACAAACACGCTGTAGCTCGGCTACCTACCACTGCAGATGTGGAAGGCCGCCATTGGCGGATGCGGATGATTGAGACTCAGCCCGTGCAAAACAATGTATATCTCTAGCTTAAACGGACTGCTTTTGAATGATAATTTTATAACATTAATTAGATTTCCGCGGGGGTGAGGACATCGACTCTAGGGTGTAACCCCTAGCCTAGCTAACATTAGCCACCTAGCTAACATTAGCGTTAACCACCTAGTTAGTCACAATTATTCGTAACATATCATACGAATTGCAAATTCGTAACATTTATGAAATGGATGATGGACATCCACAAATTAATGCATGCCATACCAAACGTAACATATCATACTAATTTGAGTTTTCTGGATCTTCGTTTACTATGTTAAGTCTACCTCTGAGTCCAGGTTGTTAATATGCATTTAGCCATACTTGAGGTTGGTCTTATTTACTTTTTTTGTTCTTTTAAAAAATAGGATTGGTTTCATGCTTTAATATTTCATACTTTCTCTGGTCACTGAATCTACTAAAATGACCTCATAAGTCCTCAAATCATATGAACACTATCAATGTGTTAAACCAGCCAAGTAAACTCCACTCAGGTGTTTCTGTGTTACCCAATCCACCCGTTTGCACTACATTTAGATCCTCTCTCTCTCTCCACAATATACCTTGCTCAGTCCATCCACGACATGATTGGCAGGGTGCCATCACTACAAATGAGCAGTCTCGAGGATGTTGTAAACATATTAGTACATGATTATGTTCCTCCAATGCACTTTCTCCTTGTTTTTAGTTATTAGTTTTATACATTGTGTCTTTGATTGCAACGTACATATACATTCCTTTTTATAGCTAAGGAGATTTGTAAAAGTGCCTTTAAACCTATAGATTTGCTACACAATTCCTATTCATAAAGCTAGTCTGTAGTCTGACTATTCCAATTGTTATATGGTTTGTCATACATCTGTCAAGGTATCTCTAGTGCCTCTCCTTGTCATGATCAAATGTAATAAATCTGATCATCTCTGAAATGTCTTCCAGTGTTCTATTGTGAGATTGTTATTTTAAGAGTTCATGGTGTCCTGTAGGTGGGACTGTTGCCCCTCAAATTACTGTATATTTCTGCTAGGTTTTATTTTAAATGATTAGTTCTATGGACCTCTTTCAGATAAGTAGAAAGTGCACTTGGCACTTCTTTTGGGACATTGTTTTGCCATTCTGCCTCAAAAAAGTGAAAAATGTTAGCTCAATTCATATGAGGACAACCAATACCTAATGCCGACTAGTTAAATAGCATTGTCCATGTATTAGCTGCAGCAACCTTGGAATCAAGTGCTTTACTCTGTTAAACACTAGTCTTACTTAATTCCGTCAGTAGGACATTCCAGAACATGAGAAGTTGAGGAAACAGACCAAAGACATGTCATCACATGTCATCAGTCTGAGCCAACAGGTATTCCAGAACTTCCCATCGCCTCTGGCTTCATTCCATCACCCTGATCACATGATCATGATCACACTCCAACAAGATTACTTTTATTCCTTGTGACGCAGGATTACCCATGCAGCCACATCACACTCTCACGCTCTCTCTCGACAAGGGAGTGCGAGGGAATCACAAGATCGGCATGAGGAGATGGGGTTGAACACAAGACCAACAGTATATTCATTGAGGACCAAATGGGTTCGGCTGGGGAGGAGAAGGAGGAGCATAGAGAGATGGGTCTGTAGTTAGTCCATGAATTCAGCCTCAAATCAAATCACCGCCATCAGACCGTTTGAGTTCACGCATAGCAGAATTACACATTGACATACACTGAAGTACTGTACATGTAGTGGAAAATAAAGTGAGTACCATGCCATATTAATTTCAGCTGACTGCTTTATGGTATTCCATGTTAGTTGAATGAACATGCTTTCTTTCGTTCAATCACTTTGAGATCCTTCCTTTTGCTCTTTTACAAGAAATAATCTACTGTATATATCTGAGTGTTTTTCAGTCTTTTACACTAGTAGTTATATTTATATGATCTTGGTGAGTGGGTGACCTTGTTAGTGTGATGACCCTGGGTCTCTGTGACAGACAGTTCGATAGCGGTGGAGTCCCCCTCACAGCAGGCAGGCAGACCTACCCTACATAATGCTGTTATATAACGGCCTGGCTGGGGGAACACACCATGCTATGACTCTGTCTGGGGCCTCTACTGTGGTGCGGTAGAGGAGAGAATCCGGAAAAGATTGGTTGCATTAGCCGGTTAGGATCATGCTCTCACTGGGGATGAGGACTCCCACTGTGCATCTGGATACCTCCGTAGGTTGAGGTGAACACACAGGTAGAGGGGAAAATGTATATTCTTGAGCAGGGCTCTCCAACCCTGTTCCTGGAGAGCTACCTGTAGGTATTCACTCCAACCCTAATCTAGCACACCTGATTCTGATAATTAGGTGGTTGATAAGCTGAACCAGGTTAGTTACAACTGGCGTTGGAGCGAAAACCTACAGGAGGATAGCTCTCCAGGAACAGGGTTGGAGACTCCTGTTCTAGAGAGCTACTGGCCTTGCAGGTTTTTCCCCAGCCCTGCTCTATCATGGATCTGTTTCTATAGATTAGAATCAAGTGAGTAGTAGGGTCAGACCAGATTCCTGCAGGAGGGAGGATAGCTACTAGCACCCCAGGAGGAGGGTTGCTTGGCAACTCTGGTATAGAATATAAACTGGCAACTCTCTGGTATAGAATGTAACCTGGCAACTCTCTGGTATAGAATATAACCTAGCAACCTGTGTGGAAAAACAAGCTAAATGTAGAACAGTTAGCTACTGAAGGCTTTAATGAGAGCCACACACACACACACACAATAAAGGACAAGAAGCTGGTTCATACAGTTCCTTCAGAAAGTATTCATACCCCTTGACTTATTTCATATTTTGTTGCGTTACAGCCAGAAAAAATGATAAAATATTATTTTTGTCTCTCACCCATCAACACACAATACCCCCTAATGACAGTGTTAACATGTTTTTAGAAATGTTAGCAAATTTATTGAAAATGAAATACAGAAATACCTAATTTACATAAGTATTCACACACCTGAGTCAATACTTTGTGGAAGCACCTTTGGCAGCAATTACAGCTGTGAGTCGTACTGGGTAAGTCTCTAAGAGCTTTCCACACCTGGATTGTGCAACATTTGCCTATTATTCTTAAAAAATGTCTTCAAACTCTGTCAAATTGGTTGTTGATCATTGCTAGACAACCATGTCAAATCAAATCAAATTGCATTTGTCACATGCGCCGAATACAACAGGTGTAGACCTTACCGAGAAATGCTTACTTACAAGCCCTTAACCAGCAATGCAGTTCAAGATAGAGTTAAGAAAATATTTACTAAATAAACTAAGGTAAAGAATAATAAAAAGTAACACAATACAATAATATCGAGGCTATATACAGGGGGTACCGGTACCAAGTCAATGTGCGGGGGTACAGGTTAGTCGAGGTAATTTGTACATGTAGTAGGGGTAAAGTGACTATGCATAGACTATGCATTATCAAGTCTTGTCATAGATTTTCAAATAGATTTAAGTCAAAACTGTAACTCGGCCACTCAGGAACATTCACTGTCTTCTTAGTAAGCAACTCCAGTGTAGATGTGGCCTTGTGTTTTAGGTTATTGTCCTGCTGAAAGGTGAATTCATCTCCCAGTGTCTGGTGCAAAGCAGACTGAACCAGGTTTTCCTCTAGGATTTTGTCTGTGTTTAGCTCCAATACATTTCTTTTTTTAGTCCTTAACAATTACAAGCATACCCATAACATGATGCAGCCACCACTATGTATAACACTTTGTATTCAGGACAAAAAGTTAATTGCTTTGCAGTATTACTTCAGTGCCTTGTTGCAAACAGGATTTATGGTTTGGAATATTTTTATTCTGTACAGGTTCACTCTGTCAATTAGGTTAGTATTGTGGAGTAACTACGATGTTGTTGATCCATCCTCAGTTTTCTCCTATCATAGCCTCTGTAACTGTTTTAAAGTCACCATTGGCCTCGTGGTGAAATCCCTGAGCGGTTTCCTTCCTCTCCGGCAACTGAGTTAGGAAGAACGCCTGTGTCTTTGTAGTGACTGGGTGTATTTATACAACATTCAAAGTGTAATTAATTACTTCACCATACTCAAAGGGATATTCAATTTCTGCTTTATTTTTTATTTTTACCCATCTACCAATAGGTGCCCTTATTTGCAAGGCATTGGAAAACTTCCCTGATCTTTGTGGTTGAATATGTGTTTGAAATTCACTGTTCGACTGAGGGACCATACAGAAAATTGTATGTGTGGGGTACAGAGATGAGGTAGCCATTTATTAACCATGTTAAACCCTATTATTGCACACAGAGTGAGTCAATGCAACTTATTATGTGACTTGTTAAGCACATTTAGGCTTGCCATAACAAAGGGGTTGAATACTTATTGACTCAAGACATTTTAGCTTTTCAGTTTTAATTAATTTGTAAATATTTCGAAAAACATAATTCCACTTTGACATTATGGTGTATTGTGTGTAGGCCATTGACAAAACATCTCAATTTAATCCATTTTCAATTCAGGCTGTAACACAACAACATTTTTGAAAAAGTCAAGGGGTCTTAATACTTTCTGAAGGCACTGTAAAATAATACTTTTGGTTCAGGCTTATGTATTTGATTCAGACAATCCAATAATTTAATAGGGAACCTCTTCACATTCTGATATATGCTCATCATGTAATTAGGGGTTCAAGCATCGAAGCTGCGAGAAACCCTATTGTATTTGTTGGCAGTCATTATTAATATTACATAGTAATTATTGTTTGAATTAGGCTACAGAAAAGTCATTATTCAACATGTATTTACGTTGTCTATTGTGTTTACTGTTACACTGTCATTTTAGGTATTATCAACAGTAAAATAAACTCGGAAACGTTTAACTTTTTATTTAACCTTTATTTAACTAGGCAACTATTTACAATGACGGCCTACCCTGGCCAAACCCGGACGACGCTGGGCCAATTGTGCGCCGCCCTATGGGACTCCCAATCACGGCCGGATTGTGATACAGCCTGGAATCTAACCAGGGTCTGTAGTGACGCCTCTAGCACTGAGATGCAGTGCCTTAGATCACTGCGCCACTCAGGAGTCCTTTAACTGCAGCATACTGTAAATGATGGTGCATTGTGGGGAAATTGCTGTATTTAAATTGGTCCTGTAATTCCACCCCACAGAATACAGTACCATACTGTATCTTTGGAACACCAAAAACCTTGACCACTAGTGGGTGCATGGTTTGTTGTTTCTGGCTCATTTACATATTTTGAGGCTTGCACTGTAAGAGGATATTTGCTGCACCCATGAATGAGAATGCTGCACCAATTTACCTCCTATGTGGTTATAGTGCCCCATCAATTTAAAATCTATAGGGGACAGATTGGAGTGGCAGCAAGTCTTAAACCTTAAATGGTTGAGTATTTTTCCATGTCCTTTTGGAGGCCTTTGTTAAGGCCTCTAGAAGTGCAAGTGATATAAAACACCAAATATGTATTAACATGCTGTAATGTGTAAACACTTTACCAAGCAGCCAACCTGCTTGCACCAATTCCTTGTAAATACAGTGAAATACAAACCCCTCTCCTCAATAATGTCATTCATTCATCCATTCAATCTGACGAAGTTAGCGTTTACTTTTTTACAGTATAATACAGTCAATTTTACGGTATTGTACTGTGTGTCATTACACAGTACTTGCTTTGATACCATATTTATATTACATTAGCTATATGCCTACTGTAATATGAAATACAGCATTTTACTTGCCACAGCGCTGCCTGCAAAATACTGTCAAATTCATGGCAACCCCTTTACAGTGTACTATTATCCATTGTCCCAGTCCCACACCAGGATTAGTTCAAACTGAGATATCAAATATATAATATCGTAGGCCTACTTAAAACTAAATTGAAGACTAATACCATACCAGAGCCTTTACTGAGAAACAAAAGGCAAAGGGATGTTTTCTCCATTGTAGTGACTACAGTATGCCACTGACAGTTGTTAAAGTGGGCGGGGTATTTCTCTGGTCTCGTGTGTGCTAGTGCAGCGCGCTGGAACTGCGTGGATCGAAGCAGCATGTCTGTCGCGAGGACCAGCTGTGTGTGTGTGGGACACTGGCGCGCGCTGCTGTGTGAAATCGCAGCATCAGTTTGAAAAGGGATAAAGAGGAGAGAATAGAGGACCCTCCATCCCTATCCCGCCACCGCCAGAAGAAAAATAACACTTCTCAACCTGGGGCAGTCCGTTTACAGGGTAGGCTAGATTATGAGAAAGTCTGCTCTTTTGCCGAATAACCTACATTGCTCAAACAGTGCAGCTATGTTGATAGGTATTCAAATTTTAGGATCTGGCGTTATTACCATAATTTAGCATACCGGTTTGCCCCTGGCTGATACGAGAGGAGATTATATGTGGCGGAAACAAGGCAACCGCACTGCAACGAAGTGAAGTTCAGCTGCTCTGCAGGTACAGTAATGCTTGATACATTGTATAAATGTTTGGAACCTTCAAGAGCTCGCTAGCTACAGTGTAACTGTTCTTCCCAGTAGATGATGATAGGCTATTGTGCATTCTCGCGTGCATAAAACCTTCTATCCAACAAAACAGCAACCTTTGGGAAATATTGCTGTTATGTTTTTGTGTGTGAAGCAGAATATGAGTAAGAATGCCTTGTGATGCTAAATGATTGCGTGTTGCGTGCATGTGTAGCCTATACCGGCTGCCTCTGTTTTGTACAGTATTGTGTCCATTCCCAGGCTTGGTTTGTCATTGTTCAAGTGAAATAGGTAGACAAGAGAGAAGGAAGAGCGAAACCAGTGGTTCAGCTTGCCACACATACAGTCGCCAGGCTACATTATGCAGACAGGAAACGGAACAACACGCGATCCGACGGCCATGCGTTTTTATCAGCCATTATTTTACAGTAGCCTAGGCTATTGATTCATCACGGAAATAACATAAATAATAATGTATGAATAACAAAACGCTCTCGTTGTGTTTTTCTTTTCAAGACATCTTGATAAAAGATTATGCCATTACTTTTTCGAATTATTTGTCATTCGATTAGGTCTTGATGTTGCCAACGTGCATCTCACAGATGTGCTTCGCTCTCTCATGAATGCAAGAGCCCACAATCCCACATCAGCATCAGCGGGACAGGGATGCCTCCCTTTCCCCTCCAATCTCCGAAAGCGAGAATAGGGAAATTCCTTTAAATTGAGGTCACATAATGTAGGCCTATTTCATATCCATTTTAGAATAGCTGGAAATGTAGTGGTCATTCTGCACAGCATGCCCTGTGAATTGACATATTCTGTGCATGGAATTCTAACCTGCTAGAAATAAATGTGACTGGCGACGGCAGAGAGAGCATCCGTACAGTCCGCGAGATTGTCAGCCGCACGCGAAATCATATCATTATCAATAAATATTAGCCTACATAATCACAACTGCTAGGCTCAGATTACGGCTCATTTGGGTTTAATATAATGTCACTGCGGTGGTAGAATATATAGCTATGCTATTGGATATATTGAAGCAATGCAATGTCAATAGTCTATAAATATCCAGCATTCACTGTGCCTGTCTGTCTGCACAGATCCGGACCGTGTTCATTGAGGTGCAGCGCATCCTTTCCCCGTCCACTTACACTAGCCTAAAATGTGATTTTACTCAAAAAATTACAATG